ATTGCCAATAATGTCTAAGAGCTTCTGTAGGCATTGAAAAAGTTAGTCAAATACAAACTCTGACTAGTTGTATTCATTCTGATAGGCTAAATCTGCAGACCTTCATCGGCAAATTCTCGCAGAAATTTCATCAAGTCTGACAATTTTCTGCATATAAACCCCACGTTGTTTAATTCGAACGAAAATTCTATGCTTTTTCCCTCAAACAGTGAACAGGGATGGCAATACACATTCAAAGGCACCATCGGGTCGGTCCAGTAGGATACCCCATACTTATAGACTAGTCAACCACTGAAATTTGCCCTAGCGAATGATGTTTGATCACTCCAAACTAGAAATTTTTGGGTAGATGCAACAAATCGTAAAGACAGAAGGAGAGAAGGCCTCTAAAGCCTTCAATAGGTATGCTTTTGCTAAGTGACTCATCGTATTACGACGTCTAGTCGCTAAGCTACCGCAGACAATAACCACACACACATATGCACCAGTACAGGCAAACATGCAGGTGAATGCAGAAGGCGAAAGTATGGGTGTAAAATGCAGGTGGGGTGGGTCCGCTGTGGTTTAAGGACAAGTCACAAAAGTTGTACTCTGTTGGACGCAAAAGCTAAGCAAATTTTGTGTAGGAATTTAATTTACAAAGTAAATGCTAGAGTTATTTAATTGGAGGAGGCGGATAGAGGGCCACTATAAATCAAACAGCGTATTTAATCCATGCTAAGGGGCTATGATTCTTCAAGGTTACTGAGTTAATCCCTTCAGCCTCCGTGACCTTTATGATGAACTGGAATTAACATAAAGGAGTACAAAATGAATGTACTTAAAAACTTTATGAGAATCACAAGAAATGGAGAAAAAAGATGTCCGCAGTTTGTCACACAGCAGGGAGACGAAGGCTACAACACTACTACCGGACATGCTCACACATACCCTAGTACCTACAGTGACTCGTTTTCTAGCGTTTTAAAAGGTGGCATCGAAGATGGGTAAACTTTTTTCTCTAAGAAGTTAGTCCCAGGAAGCGCCTGGACAGCCTTTGAAACAAGGGAACTGCTAAAGATTGAAAAACCCATTGGGTTCGCCTAACTGATCTTAGTGAACCTGACAATGAGCCAACTTCACATGGTCTTGTTCACACAACCTAAAAGACGACAGTTAGAAGAGGAAGCCAGGGTAAGCCCTCTTGGATAACCTCGGGATACTCGTAACGAAAAAGACGGTTGAGAGTTAACTTATAGGGCCTAGTGAGCAGTAACAGAGGTCCGGAAATTGGATAAATTTCAATGACTTCTAAAATTAGCCAATAGCAGGAAATCTAATTCGTGAAAGAGAACGCAATCGAGATCAAATTTGTTGGCTCGAGTTTACTGCGGATAAGAGATAAGGCCGAGATTGCGGTAGTGGAAGACGCGCATGAGAAGTTAAATTAAGTCATGTAAAGGGTGGGAGAGAGGGCGTAGACACGTTCAGAATCACTTTGACGGAATAAAGATGCTATCAGCTAAGCCAGAGGAGACGAGAATGTTTCGAAAATTTGAAAGAACCTAGTCGACCCCTAGACCGATCGATGGCTTGAAAGAGTGGGTCAAATTGCGTTGGATAGGGGACTACAAAAATGCGAGACAGTAACACGTCTGCCATGTGGGAGGAAGACCAGAGGTGAGGCAAAGATGGTGGTAGTAGTGGATGGCGCGCATAATGAAGTGAAATCAATTGCGCAAC